TGTTGGGCGTATTCTTACAGGTACACCAGTCGGCGTATTCTTACAGGTACACCAGAATTTAGCCATGTCGCTGAATTCTACTTTTCGGGGCTCGAAGAATCCGACGCCATGTATCCATGTCCTACACCGACACGCATACCCTTATCAATGCAACATAGGTGCAACCAGAGGCTGAAGCTTTCATGCATTATCTGTCTTCTCTGTTTATTAGCAACAAACTGCCTTACGATGAAGATTGTCATTACTATTCGCTAAGAGTCTAGTTTCAAGGCACTCAAATCTAAGCTTCTCAAGAAGTTGGAGCTGCTTCATTTTCCCTAGCAAAATATCCAACCACCCAGGTACCAAACCACCAAGATCTTATCTGACCCCCATATTTTAATTTAAATGCTCTGGCATTGCTCCTCTGGAACTGCAAGGCATGAAGATCTTCCCAAAAATATGCTCCAAAAATCTTTCTTATGGCATTGAGAATAGGGCTAGCTGCATTAGATAGTTCAATCATAAAGAGGATCCGGGCTTTTCACTTTATCTTTATGATGATCCATAGAGGATCCAGGTTAGAACCAACCCCTTAGTTGGCTAAACCTCGTCAATCCACCATCGCAGATGTGAGCCAGGGATCAGAGGGAAGAGGACTTTATTGTAGTCCAGTCAATGAAGCCTCTACCCTCCAATAAGTCAGAAAACAAATCAAGCTCAAAATAAATAAATAAAATTATCCCACTCAATAAAAGTGAGTCTGGATGCTGGATTATGACCAAATCAACTTAGCAACACAAAAAAAAATTTATTCAATAGTTGTGAACATATGGGAGGTGACTCGTTTTATGGGGGATGATATGGCCATAAGGCCAATCAGTGGATCCTCCCTTGGCAACACTGGGAACATTATCAGATGCAGATTAGAACATCAGAATAAAAGACTCAATACCTCAAAGCAGAATGGGTAGAATATGAAAGGCTATGAGAAGCTCAAAATAGAATGGGTGGAAAACTTTATAACTCAATGAAGAATCGCTCACGGAAAATTAGATATGTAGAACGAGAAAATTAAATGGCTCAAAGTAAGAAAAATAAACGAAAAAGATAACCAAGTTCCGAGATATGATTGAGAATTGGCAAATGATAGTTACCTTAACCACATGCCATGTGTAAATCACAAACAAGAGAGAACACAAAAAATATAAATACTCAATCCTCAACGGCGACTGAACCAGTGGGATTTGCTGAATCATGGTAGCATCGCATGCATATCCACAATTGATGTAAAAGGACAGGAACCATGAGATCTTCCTCTCAACGTCCACAAAAGTACCAGAATCCAAAATCTACATTTCAATGAAAGATATTCCACATGCATAAAAAATGAAAAGAAGGAACATAGGAAGATCGAGCACATATGGGGATCTTATTACATGAGATCTTTGATAAAAAGACCAGTTTCGACTTGGGAGGGACCTCAGACACAAAATCCTATGTTGCAACCTTGGATATAGAGGAGCGAGAGGGAAAGGGAGAGGAAAATTTAGGTTTCCTCCATAAACTATAAATAGATGTGGGAGGGAAGGAGAGAAATTATTTTTATCATCAGTAAGGCACTCATGTGAATGTTAGAGAAGGGCATACAAGAGGCAACTTGTGAAGGACACAATGACGCAAAATAAGAATCAGGGCGATTCTAACACATGCTTAATGAATTAGCACATGATACAGGTATTTGTCCTCTTGAGAGTTGAGACATAACATACAATTGAAGATCAACTGGAAAGTAAAAAGTAACTGCATTTTGACTGACTATACATGCCAATAATTTACACAAAGAAAGTATCTCTGCACAAGCATATCTTTCAATAAAAAATGTATCTCCAAATTCTGAATCATGAAACCCCATTTTCTGATTCAAAACCATAAAAGCCAAAACAAATCTTCAATAAGACTTACGCCAAAGGCCAAAATATTTAGTAATGCAAGATAGGAATATGTTTGTTTTGAAGTAAATCGATGCAAGCCATTTCAAACCTGAAATTACACTAACAATCAGGTTATGCACAAATAACCTCTTAACTTTCCATTAGGTTCTCCACAATATAGGAAAAGGAATTAATTAGGAATATGGTTTCTATGAGTCCTCGGGGGATACAAACCCCCCCCCCCCCCCCCGACCGTATAAACTACGTTTCCATTAATTAGATTACATAAGTACTTTTTCATAAAAGTTCTGGCACTTGTTTCACTTTTGAATGTTACCCAGACAATATGATGGGAGGCAGTATATGAGAGTACCAGTTCTGTGAGGAAAGCCTGTTTGTTGAGACCTTCTAAGGCAGTGTATGCTGCATCCAGTACACGGGAGAGGTATGCTACGACTCTGACCATCATTTTTGCAAAGCCTTGTAAGCTGAGCTATTTATAGTGAACAATTGAACAGTATTATTAAGTAAACATTTTCAGGATAAATTGGAGTCACCGTATGCAAGCATTTGTTGGCCTATGGTCAGGAGCATTTCCATCATCAGGAGAACGATAGTCACTGGCCTTCTGCTCCGCCCCTAGAAGCCGTTCTACCTGCATAAGCATATCATCAGTGATATGAAAATGCTGCATTGGTCAATATTAGAAGCATAAAAAAACAACCACATACAATTAGACATGCATTCAATCGGAGTACATTAAATTCCTAGCTCTTAGGTTTTCTTTAACACCATGCCGCTTGCAGAACCCTTTGCCTCCATCTTCAGCATCGCCCTAACGTCCCTCTAGGTTAATAACTAGCAAAATGAGGTTCCAAAAAACATATCATCCATAAACAACATCAATTAATCAAATAAAGAAGTCTATAATCCAAGGAAGCATACAGAACTGGCTAGAGGAAAGTAGTTCTGTAGCACAAGCAGGACTGAAGTTCCAAAGCAAGAGTGCCAAACTAATACCTAAGCACTCGGCTCCAGTTCCACAAGATAAAAAATGGGTACTGAAGAAATGACAAAGTAGTTATAGGTATCTATGATCTCCTAAATACAAAGATTTTACAGCAACTAGGGGTCAAGCAAGAATTCACATGTTATGATCATGTACAAAAGGGATAACTACACAATGAAACCTACTCCCCCCATGTAATTGTTCCTTCCTTTCTCTATAGTTGGCAGCATGGAGCAAAGAGTATACAGGCAATCATCAAAAGACCATGAAAAGAAGGGTAAAACAAGTGCAATACAAAAGCAGATTCCTGAGATCAATGCTATAAACCAATATTGTCAACTTCCTTCAGGCACACAGCAACCAAGTACAAAAGTTAAGCTGCTCACACATTTGATAAAGCCAGTCCTTGGCTGCATGTATGTCAAAAAAAGAAAAGAAACATTGCTCATAAGTAGAGCATTTGACAGAGCAATTCTAACTGCATGCAGTGAACATAAAAAAAGATAAACAGTTTCTTGCTACAATAACTGTTGATATCTAGGATGATTAACCATAATATAGAAAATCCATATAAATACGAGAACATCTATTGAGCACATCTAACATGTCAGAGACATAAAACAGATAAAATAAGAAAAGCAAAAGGACCATCCTCTCACTGTACTGTATGATGTCTAAAAATTAATATGACATGAGTTGGAAGCTCAGCACTATTTCACGCATAAAAGGGGTCGTTGTTTTATCAATTTCACTTTAGTATACAGTGGATGGAATTCACAAACCTCAGCCATCACGGTATCAATACATTGTTGCAACCCCTTCAGTGCAGCACCTTCAGCACTGGACATTGCTGTTGCCATTTCTTCACAAGAGGCAGCATGAGCCCCATCCACAGGTAGTAGTAACCTAGAAATGGAGTTTGCAAAATACTGCAGAGGCAAGAAACACAGTCAGTACATGAACTTCATAATCAAAAGAACAGTTTCAAGATAAATTCTGAAGGGGTCATACTTGTTGGACTACTGTCACATTACTAGTTGCACGCTGCACAGCTACCATAAAGGATCTGAAACTGCTTTCACCAGCAGCAGCAGCAGCCTCTGCCTAGTTATTCAAAGCAAAGAATAGATCATCTTTACTGATTGCAAAAATAAAATAAAATTATAAAAAAAAATTCAAGTACTATCCTAAACCAGCACAATTTCAAGACTCAAAAATCAAAAAAAAAAAAATCTGATAAGCATCTGATTCTGTATTTAGACTCGTAATCTTGCTCATTTCACACTAGAGAAAGAGAAAGAGAAGAGAGAGAGAGAGTATGAATCCGATTGTAACATTCGTTGTTCTATATTTAGACGTGCCCATTTCACACGAGAGAGAGAGAGAGATGGATTGTAGGGCGCGTGGTAGAGAGAGATGCGATGGTCAAAAACATAGGCAGCAAAACAATAGAACATATGCAAAAGAAATATCATACTGCTGAAGCAGCTGCAGCAGCCACCCTTTTGCTGACACTGGCACCAATCACAAATCTTTCCCTCAAGGCAGCAGCTTCATTTAGAGCTTCTCTTGTCCTCTCCAGTCCCTCTGTAGTATACTGACTTACCTGTAATATAAAAGAGAAACCCCTAATAGATCATTATCAATTGAGACATTCTTAAACTGAGGAACTAGATTATGTAATATTGCATATTGCCAAACATATAGTGCAGCATGCCAGAACAGGGTTTGCATAGCCGACCCCAAATAATTGGGATAAAGTTCAGGTGATGATGAATATTGCATATCGCCGAACTTACTTGATCAAGCAAGCAAGTGAAGATTGACCGTACGTTGCTGGCAAGAGTAGCAGGCTGCATAATGAAATAAAAGAGAAAACTATAAGAGTAGTATCTCCTTCCAAATATCAATTTTATACAAATATCCATTGCCAAAAGTAAGACCATTGTCCAACATATTTGTTCAGAGGTAGCAACTATACTAGTCATGAGTTTTCAGCTCTTCCTTTTTCTTTTAGATTAGAGATAAAGCATAATCATTCAAGAGTTTTAATTTCTGAAAGGACCACAAGTTCACAACTGGTGGAGATTAAGTTGTCATGAATATGACAAGGAAACTCCAATGCCACTTGGTACAGAAAGTGAAGTGACTTCTAAAGAAATCAGTATGTGCTAGCTGCCAGTACAGTCAGATTCTTTTTTAAATTTTTGTTTCAATCAATCAATTCGGTGATTACGTGGAAAAATTCAATTCCACGTGCCTACCCACAAGATAAGCATCTCTTCAAGTTTAAAAGATGATGGTAACTATCTATAGAAAACAACATCCTAAAAAAAAGACCAACGAAGGAAGCAACCCAATTCCTTATTTCTTATGCAAAGAAAAGTGCAGATCTACTAAAAAAGTATGGACCTCATAAAAAAAACAGAATTACCCCAACTCATACTAAAAAAAAAAACTTTTTCAATTAAACCAAAAAACACATACTAATCCTATTTCTATAAATTAACCCTAATAAAAAAAATAAAAAGTCTTTACTCACATCTCTAAAAATAAAATTAATAAAATTAAATTAAAATTTTTTAGCAACTAAATCTTGATCTACATGACTTTTTTATCACAATAACTGGCTATAATACATTTCACAAAAGTAGTGAACTGCAGGTTATAAGCCAATCATTCAAACTAAACAGGTTATAAGCCAATCATCCAAAATCAGGCGTTCAAACCTCATAAGTGAAAGGTCCCCGAGGGGGTACACTGGAGCACAAGTACTACATGACAAATCAAAGTAGGACTCAATGAAAAATCAAAGTAGGACTTAATGGATATACATAGAATGCATTAATGAAAGGTAGATTCATGTTTGGTCATATCACTAAAGCCCAACAGCAAGAGAGGGAAAGGCAAATACAACACAACTAACCTATGAATTCTGGAACAAGATATTCCCTAGCTGGAGGTAAATATGCAAATGAAACCAATTTTCAGTAAGCACATTCTCAGACTTGAAAGATAGACAGAGGAGGTTCTACGAGTATTTGGTGCTTTGAGGTCAAACAGAATCCCAAAGGAATCTCCATACTTGAGAATGGGAACCCCACCTATGGTGGGGACTCTGGCCTGGCAGTTGCTAGCACAGAATATATATCTGAAATCTCTGAAACTTAGATAAAAAGTGCAGGTTCACTCCAGACTAGTACTTTTTGATATGGAAGCTTAAAGTCCCCTCACCCTTGAGGCCAATCAGTAAAACATGTCCAGCATATCTTAAAACAACCAGGGAATAGAAGACAACACCCATCAAGACTCCTTAACCATCAAGAGCTCACAGATGGTGAATGGTGATTACTAACAGGATAAATGGTCCATTAACCCTTCCACTGTCCAGTCATCCAACAAAATTCAATAGACAGAATAGAGAAAACTGTAGATCGGTATATCTCAAAATTCCTTCATAATCAATTCCTTTTCAAGGGATCTTCTGAAGATATCATACAAACTCGACCTTGAGTAGTTAAAAAATCTGCAATGCATTCCATAATGAGTACAATAATAAGAACTAACAGTAACACAACAGTCCACTCATTCCACAGTAGTGCTTGTGTTCATAAGAATTTTGCATATACAATGCCCAAATGGATAATCCTCAGAAGTAACTTAAGAATGATGGTTGCATAAGTGAAACACGTCTTCCTATCCCTATGATATATTATTTTCCACATAATGAGTCAAATACCTCTTCCTATGCCTATAATATATTCGTTTCCACCTAATGAGTCAGTGAACTATATTCAACTGTTTCACCACTCAGGCATGCAATGACATATAATTCACCATTGAATTTAGGATATATCTAGACACAAGTGATGATAGTAAAAAAATTCAAATAATTGATCATAAGAGATAGGTGGGTTCCCATCGGTTCTACCCATAGTTGTCGGGTGCGGGTGCGTTCCCGGGAGCAGGAGCTGGTTCAGCTCCACAGAACCGTGGATTATTGGAAGCTCCTTGTGGTTGGGATTGTCGTCCATATGATCCTATATCAAGGGAGTGCGATCCTTGTCACAGGGAAGTGTGATTCCATGAGGAAGGAATAGCAATTGTTTTAAGTGATCAGGAATGATGTGTGGGTTCACAGTACCATTGGGCACAAACCTGATTCAATGCATATGAATCAGTGCCGAATATAGAAAACATCATATGCACTGTCATACACTTGAGAACCACGATTCAAACCTGCTGGGAACGAGGATCACAATATAGGGATTCACATTCCATCCAAGATCCCTAGCTGGCATCGCGGGATCCAGGTTCCCGAGCAAGTCCGTGACCTTTCCTACAAGGTTCCAACTATGGTTCTACCACCTGGTTTCTGAACAGCCAAAACAACAAAAATATCTTGAGGAAATAATAGGAATGTTTTACAAGTTAATATTAAATGATTTGCACTTCCAAAACGAAAGAGATGAAAGAAACAAAGAATTCAACAGCAAAGTGAAAAATTGCATATTTGCATAGTATTACCAGAAAAAAATTCAACTACTGTAATGGCAACAACAGAATCAGAACCACAATTCTAAAGAAAGCATAGCCACTTTCACCTGAAAAGATAGTGAAGTGCATCTACCGATTGCTTCCTCATTCCAACGCACAAACTCAGTAACTACAGCAACAGATATCTGCTGATGTGCAGGTGGAGATATAGCTACTTTTGAACGGGAGACAGTACTATTGGAGTCAGATTGTTGGGGTGTCCCTGAACGCAATTCTTCCATCTGTCAAAACCACAAACCACATAAGTAACCCAATGAGTAAAACCGCAGTGGCAACCAACTTACTGATTTCTCATATTTAAGCAATTACATGATACCTTGGCCTGAAATAGTTGGTGCAGAGAAGCTTGCTCATATTCAGGATACTCGTCTTTGTGAGTAAGAAATAGAGATTCTGTGAGACCTGCATCAAAAGAAACTAGTGCATTTAGTGTACCATCGGAAACACAGTTCACAACATATCCCTTCTTTCTTCTGTTAAATAATTTGCAAACTAAAATTTCCAAATGCAAATCTGAAGAATTTATCCATAAGAATGTCAGTAGTTAGATGAGGAATGTCACACATTTTTCAGAGTAACATGCAATCAAAATGCTCCATTCATTAAAAAGTGTCTTCAAGCATTAAATGATAAAAAGGGATAACATTAATAGGTCAAACCAATTCTAAGGTCATCTTATAAGGGAAAGTTTCTATGTTTCCCCTACAACATAGAAGTTCTATGTTCCCCCTACCATCCAGCCATCCATTTTTTTATAAAGAGAGCCACTTACCGTTTGATCTTAGATCCGACGTCTCAAAAGTATTTTATTTTTAG